TTCGTAGCTGCTCTAGCGAAAGTTATTCACGCAAACTGTGAAGGGTGTTGAGACAGTGTGTCCAGCCTTTCGGAAAAGAATAAAGAACGTTATTTCCCTGGATTCAAGAATTCGGAGGGGTCTTGAGACCTGAACTCAAACTGTTTGATACAAATTTTTTAGCTTCCTAGTCATGTCCTGAATTGAATTTAATTAACATCTAGATTCATTTTTAGATAATGAGAAGCTAGGAGTTGAGGGAAAGGGTTGATCCATCTTCGATGGAGATGATGATTTTTATCTACTGAACAAAACAATAGTAATATAAACAATAGTAGTAGCCCTGTTTCTAGGAGTGTTCTCGTGGTCTGAGGATACTGAGACCCAGCCATGAGCTCACTAGTTTTGCATGTAATTAAGTTAATTTAAGCGTTCTGGTTGAAGCCGGAGAACAGTAACGTTTTTGTCGACCCGATGTTGGGAAAACCACCAAAAGAACTGGCTTTGGTAGAGACGGTGAGAAGCATGTAGAGCTTTGTTCAGACGCTGACCAGTCGTTTTATAGCTTAGCTTTATTTTCCGTCGATATGTACTTCCGGGCGAATGTTACAGACCTTAAGTTTTTTTCTTGCAAAAATAAATTCTCGCCTTAAAAAATCTATCTCACCCTTACGTCATCAAATTTTAAAGTAAAGTCGATTTCAGATGTTAGTTTTCAGAAGACCTTGACTCCCCTCACGTGGCTGCAGTTCCATTGCGGAACTGCACTTGTTGTCCAGCTCCGATAAATTCTGAGTGAATCATTGTTAAGTGAATTTTTTTGCTTGTATCGTAGCTGCTCTAGCGAGAGCAATTCACGCAAACGTCACACTTCTGAGAAACGTCGAAACGGCCATTCTTAGAAATAAATCAGAAAAAAAACAACCACAATAGTGGCATAGAAATGATGAGAAATAGCAAAATAGAAAGTTTTTTTCTAGCAAAAATTAATTCTCGCCACAAAAGTTCTTTTTTGCCCTTACATCATCAAATTTTAAAGTAATGTCGATTTCAGATGTTAGTTTTCAGAAGACCTTGACTCCCTTCACATGGCTGCAGTTCCATTGCGGATCTCCACTTGTTGTCTAGCTCCGGTAACTTCTGTGTGAATCACTGTGTTAAGTGAATTCTTTTGCTTGTTTCGTAGCTTGTCTAGCGAGAGCAATTCACGCAAACGGTGAAGGGTGTTGAGACAGTGTGTCCAGCCTTTCGGAAAGGAAATAAGAACGTTATTTCCCTGGATTCAAGAATCCGGAGGGGTCTTGAGACCTCAACTCAAACTGTTTGATTCGAATTTTTAGCTTCCTAGTCATGTCCTGAATTGAATTTAATTAACATCTAGATCCATTTTTAGATAATGAGAAGCTAGGAGTTGAGGGAAAGGGTTGATCCATCTTCGATGGAGATGATGATTTTTATCTACTGAGCAAAAACAATAGTAAAATCATAAATAGTAGTAGCCCTGTTTCTAGGAGTGATCTCGTGGTCTGGGGATACTGAGACCCAGCCATGAGCTCACTAGTTTTGCATGTAATTCAGTTAATTTGAGCGTTCTGGTTGAAGCCGGAGAACAGTAACGTTTTTGTCGACCCAATGTTAGGAAAACCACCAAAAGAACTGGCTTTGGTAGAGACGGTGAGAAGCATGAAGAGCTTTGTTTAGACGCTGGCCAGTAGTTTTATAGCTTAGCTTTGTTTTCCGTCGATATGTACTTCCGGGCGAATGTTACAGAACTTAAGTTTTTTTCTAGCAAAAATTAAATCTCGCCATAAAAATTCTATTACGCCCTTACGGCATCAAATTTTAAAGTAATTTCGATTTCAGATGTTAGTTTTCAGAAGACCTTGACTCCCCTCACATGGCTGCAGTTCCATTGGGGATCTGCACTTGTTGTCCAGCTCCGGTAATTTCTGTGTGAAGCATTGTGTTAAGTGAGTTTTTTTGCTTGTATCGTAGCTGCTCTAGCGAGTGCAATTCACGCAAACGTCACACTTATGAGAAACGTCGAATTGGCCATTTTTAGAAGTAAATCAGAAAAAAAAACAACAACAATGGTGGCGATAGAAATGATGAGAAATAGCAAAATATAACTGGAAACCTTACAGACCTTAAGTTTTTATCTAGCAAAAATTAAATCTCGCCATAAAAATTCTATTTCGCCCTCGCGTCTTCAAATTTTAAAGTAATGTCGATTTCAGATGTTAGTTTTCGGAAGACCTTGACTCCCCTCACATGGCTGCAGTTCCATTGCGGATCTCCACTTGTTGTCCAGCTCCGGTAAATTCTGTGTGAATCATTGTGTTAAGTGAATTTTTTTGCTTGTTTCAAACCTGCTCTAGCGAGAGCAATTCACGCAAACGGTGAATGGTGTTGAGACAGTGTTTCCAGCCTTTCGAAAGGAAATAAGAACGTTATTTCCCTGGATTCAAGAATCCGGAGGGGTCTTGAGACCTGAACTCAAACTGTTTGATACGAATTTTTAGCTTCCTAGTCATGTCCTGAATTGAATTTAATTAACATCTAGATTCATTTTCAGATAATGAGAAGCTAGGAGTTGAGGGAAAGGGTTGATCCATCTTCGATGGAGATGATGATTTTTATCTACTGAACAAAAACAATAGTAATATAATAAATAGTAGTAGCCCTGTTTCTAGGAGTGATCTCGTGGTCTGGGGATACTGAGACCCAGCCATGAGCTCACTAGTTTTGCATGTAATTAAGTTAATTCGAGCGTTCTGGTTGAAGCCGGAGAACAGTAACGTTTTTGTCGACCCGATGTTAGGAAAACCACCAAAAGAACTGGCTTTGGTAGAGACGGTGAGAAGCATGAAGAGCTTTGTTTAGACGCTGGTCAGTTGTTTTATAGCTTAGCTTTGTTTTCCGTCGATATGTACTTCCGGGCGAATGTTACAGAACTTAAGTTTTTTTCTAGCAAAAATTAATTCTCGCCATAAAAATTCTTTCGCCCTTACGTCATCAAATTTTAAAGTAATGTCGATTTCAGATGTTAGTTTTCAGAAGACCTTGACTCATACCACATGGCTGCAGTTCCATTGCGGATCTGCACTTGTTGTCCAGCTCCGGTAAAGTCTGTATGAATCATTGGGTTAAGTGAATTTTTTTGATTGTATCGTAGCTGCTCTAGCGAGAGCAATTCACGCTAACGTCCCACTTATGAGAAACGTCGAAACGGCCATTTTTAGAAGTAAATCAGAAAAAAAACAACAATAGTGGCGATAGAAATGATGAGAAATAGCAAAATATAACTGGAAACGTTACAGACCTTAAGTTTTTTCTAGCAAAAATTAAATCTCGCCATAAAAATTCTATTACGCCCTTACGGCATCAAATTTTAAAGTAATGTCGATTTCAGATGTTAGTTTTCGGAAGACCTTGACTCCCCTCACATGGCTGCAGTTCATTGCGGATCTCCACTTGTTGTCCAGCTCCGGTAAATTCTGTGTGAATCATTGTGTTAAGTGAATTTTTTTGCTTGTTTCGTAGCTGCTCTAGCGAGAGCAATTCACGCAAACGGTGAATGGTGTTGAGACAGTGTGTCCAGCCTTTTGAAAGGAAATAAGAACGTTATTTCCCTGGATTCAAGAATCCGGAGGGGTCTTGAGAGCTGAACTCAAACTGTTTGATACGAATTTTTAGCTTCCTAGTCATGTCCTGAATTGAATTTAATTAACATCTAGATTCATTTTCAGATAATGAGAAGCTAGGAGTTGAGGGAAAGGGTTGATCCATCTTGGATGGAGATGATGATTTTTATCTACTGAACAAAAACAATAGTAATATAATAAATAGTAGTAGCCCTGTTTCTAGGAGTGATCTCGTGGTCTGGGGATACTGAGACCCAGCCATGAGCTCACTAGTTTTGCATGTAATTCAGTTAATTTGAGCGTTCTGGTTGAAGCCGGAGAACAGTAACGTTTTTGTCGACCCGATGTTAGGAAAACCACCAAAAGAACTGGCTTTGGTTGAGACGGTGAGAAGCATGAAGAGCTTTGTTTAGACGCTGGCCAGTAGTTTTATAGCTTAGCTTTGTTTTCCGTCGATATGTACTTCCGGGCGAATGTTACAGAACTTAAGTTTTTTTCTAGCAAAAATTAATTCTCGCCATAAAAATTCTTTCGCCCTTACGTCATCAAATTTTAAAGTAATGTCGATTTCAAATGTTAGTTTTCAGAAGACCTTGACTCCCCTCACATGGCTGCAGTTCCATTGCGGATCTGCACTTCTTGTCCAGCTCCGGTAAATTCTGTGTGAATCATCGTGTTCAGTGAATTTTTTTGCTTGTTTCGTAGCTGCTCTAGCGAGAGCAATTCACGCAAACGGTGAATGGTGTTGAGACAGTGTGTCCAGCCTTTCGAAAGGAAATAAGAACGTTATTTCCCTGGATTCAAGAATCCGGAGGGGTCTTGAGACCTGAACTCAAACTGTTTGATACGAATTTTTAGCTTCCTAGTCATGTCCTGAATTGAATTTAATTAACATCTAGATTCATTTTCAGATAATGAGAAGCTAGGAGTTGAGGGAAAGGGTTGATCCATCTTCGATGGAGATGATGATTTTTATCTACTGAACAAAAACAATAGTAATATAATAAATAGTAGTAGCCCTGTTTCTAGGAGTGATCTCGTGGTCTGGGGATACTGAGACCCAGCCATGAGCTCACTAGTTTTGCATGTAATTCAGTTAATTTGAGCGTTCTGGTTGAAGCCGGAGAACAGTAACGTTTTTGTCGACCCGATGTTAGGAAAACCACCAAAAGAACTGGCTTTGGTAGAGACGGTGAGAAGCATGAAGAGCTTTGTTTAGACGCTGGCCAGTAGTTTTATAGCTTAGCTTTGTTTTCCGTCGATATGTACTTCCGGGCTAATGTTACAGAACTTAAGTTTTTTTCTAGCAAAAATTAATTCTCGCCATAAAAATTCTTTCGCCCTTACGTCATCAAATTTTAAAGTAGTGTCGATTTCAGATGTTAGTTTTCAGAAGACCTTGACTCCCCTCACATGGCTGCAGTTCCATTGCGGATCTGCACTTGTTGTCCAGCTCCGGTAAATTCTGTGTGAATCATTGTGTTCAGTGAATTTTTTTGCTTGTTTCGTAGCTGCTCTAGCGAGAGCGATTTTTTTGTTATCGATGTCAAATATCGCTCTAGCGAGAGCGATTGTTTTGTTATCGATGTCAAATATCACGGGCAGCAAAACAAGGTTTAATCAACAGTTGAATTAGATTTAGTTATATTTAGTTAAATTATTTTTAGTTGGCCTATGGTGGAGCTATGATTAAAAAAAGTCAAATATTTGATGCCAGCTCGCAACATCGAGCTGTAGGGAGTCCATAAAAATAGTTCAAACTCTTAAGGTGCTGATGACTTTGTTCAGAAAGTCTTAAAATTTACTTAGGCTCTAATTTACTTTTTTTTGCGATTTGACCTATGATTAAGAGTAATGAACGTAGTGAAGACTCTTATATAGGTCGTGCTGATTTTTTTTTCAGGAAAAAGTCATAAAATATTGATGCACTTAAGTATAATGCATTTTTTGAGTTCAATTGAAAATCATCTTCTGAAAGTGACGTAAATAGCACTCTCCAAATAGGAACGTGAAAATGGCGCGAAAGAACGTGAACGATTTCTAGTTTCGAAAGTGGAGTTTTTAAGATTTCCCAGCGGAATAAAAACTTTACCTATTGAACCAGTTTTCTCAAGTTGGGTTCGTGTTATCAAAAGAGCGCCAGTCATAAATATTTCTAGAAATTCAAAGAGCTTAAAGGGCATCTATTTTTTGAATTTCAGTTCATTTTTTAAATTAGTTTGACCGAATAGTTTTTCTGCTAAGCCTGTATCGGTTTTCAGTGGGCTAGTTTGATGTAGATGTAATACCATTGAATTGTGTCTCCAATTTGTTTTTTTTTCTGACTAGTTGCAAAAGCTTTGGAATCGGGGGCAATCTTTTTCCAGTAAATAAATTGTCTGATAAAAATAAGTTATCTTCGGCGCTTATCACTTCTTTTTTCTTCTCATCGCTTTGAGTTTTCAACCGCAAGCTGCAAAAATCATGGAATTCCAATAATACTGGAACTTATTTTTGATAGTTCTTGTTCTGACCACTGAAACAGGGCTTTCAATTTTTTATTTCAAAATTTTTTTTTTACCACTTGGCAAAAAAAATGTTTTCATGAAATTTGAAAAAAATTTTCTGAAAGATTTTGTAGTCGGGAACTAGAATTTTTCCCGTAAACAACTTTTTTTAACACATCTAAAAATGTTGAAGTTGGTTTTTTTGCGAATATTGGTAACTTTGAGACTTTTTCCCACTTATCCTAGAGGTAACGCAGGCGCCTTTGTAGGTCTGGGGTTTGAGTCCCGGCCGGACCTTGCTTTTTTTTCAGTATGTATGAAACTGAAAAAAAAATTGCCGCGAAAAATTGAATTGTCGGATTTTGGTTGTTCTGTAATTTGTAAAATTAATACCTCTTCACTGTATATTTTCCTTGGTTTTCCCTTTTTGCTGATGTTGTATTTGGCCTAAATTGTTTCGGCGTATTTTTTTTGACTTAGTTACTTTATTTTGCGCTGCTTCAAGGGCAGATTGATTGAGCAAAGTTTTTTAAATTCAGGTGTGTTGCAAGATTTCAAAGTTTTAAATCTTAATTGTCAAAATTTTTAGGAGTGCACTTTTTGATGGCATTTTTTGTTTCTAGCTCAATAGATGTCTACCCACTTGTTCTCGGCTTAGGTGCCGCTCGGTTGATACTACAAGCTAATTGAATTCTGGTGGTTGGTTGTCGAGTGTTTTTCTGGTAATATTTTTATTTTTGCCCACAATTTTTTTAAAATCGATTTTCGTCTCATTCTCTGTTCGCTAGCTTGCAATGCTGCGTTTGCTTTGTATCGTAAGTGATGAGAAGCTCCGCTTCGCATCTATGAAAATTTTGCTTCGAAGAAAACTTGTCTGTATTGTTTTTTGAAGAAAACTGTTGTTGTAAAGGCATGAATTCCAGGCTTCAGCTATTGATTTAGTTTTTCCCTTCTATCCATCCATTATCAATTGGGTGGTTAAGCTTCTTTTGTTTCAAGCCAACCGTTTTGCCCTAATTTTATTGGTTAACTTACCTGTTATAGGGTAGAAGAAGAAGAAGAAATGTTAATTAAGTTATAAACACATATAACTTATGAATACATGACACTTAACAAAATTAAAGTTTGTAAAGGTTGCATCTAGTGGCGCGCTGGGGGAAAAGTTTCATGTGTTTTTCTAGTTTCTGATATTGTGCATGTGCCGTTCTATTTCTCAGGCGGCTTGTGGAATAGTCTTCACGTTGAGGCACGAGATGGAATAGTCTTCACGTTGAGGCACGAGTTGTTTTTTCCTGCTTGTTGAAGTAGGCTGGCATCCGCTGGCATAGTGAGTCGATATGTGAGGGAAGTAGGCTGGCATAGTGAGTCGATAGGATTAAATTTTCTAATGATATCAAGTTTTATTGCCTTTTCTTGAACACGGTCAATGGATTTTAGCGTAGTTATGTTTGCGCAAGCCCAAACTGGTAAGGCATAAGTTATTTGGCTCTCTATTAGATACTCGTAAATATGTTCCGATTCTGATAGTTTCGTTCCAAAACTTTTGAGTCTTGACAGAAGATAACATGAACTTGATAACTTTTTACTCAAATTGTTGATATGTGGCTGGAATGTGAGTTTATAATCGAATGTAACTCCAAGTTTTTTCATTTCTTCGACATCTTCAACGTTACTCAAGACTGGGGGTGAACATTGAGAGGGCGAGCTGTGTATTGTCATAACTTTTGACTTCTTATCGTTGACGAGAAAATCGTTATCTGAACACCATTGTTTGATATGCTGCATCGCGTTTCTAGAATCATCTTGCGATCCATAAACTGGTATGATAGTGTAGGAGTCATCAGCAAACTTTATCATTTCAACCGTATTTACTGGTTCCATATCTAATTTTGACGTAGCGATATTAAACAAGATCGGCCCTAAAACTGTGCCTTGTGGGACACCTTGACTTATGGTTGCGGTTCGAGATTTTCTGTTGTTGCATTCGGCTCTGCTAGGGAATGTGCGTTTTCGCTCCATACCCAAAAAGGTATTTCATCGGGTCCACATGCTGTTTTCCGGATTCTTTTGAGGCCTTCATATATTTGATTCAAGTTGAAAGAAGGTGTTTCTTTGTGTGTTGTTTCACTCACGATAGATTCTCTATAATTTGTGGCTGTACAAATTTCGGCAAAGTAGTCATTCAGTGAATCAGGGTCATCCTTACTACTTTGACCCATATCTTTTCTACCCATAAGGAAGTTAACTTCTTTCCACCATGCTCCTGATCCTCGTTTATTACCAGTCAGGTTATTCTTGATTTCGTCTTTAACTGCCAGTTCTATTGAGTTGATGTTCCTTCCCTTTTTCTTCAACTTGTATTTTTTATTCAAGAGGCACTTGAGTTTAGCTGTCATGAAACTGGGGTCTTAGTTAGAAAGTCGAACTTTTTTCTTGGGACAATAAACATCTAATAGATCAAGTAGAGTTCTGTGAAGTATGTTGAAAGCTTGTTCAGCATCGCAGTAGTCCAGGTTCTCGAAATTAAGCTTGTCTAATTGCAACCCAAGACGCATTCTTTCAGGAGTGCCCGTTTTTCGTATAGTTATCTTGGTTCTGTGGTTGGTTTCAGTCGTTGGTTCGCAAAACACTGCCATATGATCCGATAAGAGTAAACTGTTCAGTGTTTGTGGCTCTTTATACGTATTTGGGTCACTGCAAAGTATTTTGTCCAGTTGGTTTTGATCTCTCGTAGGGGGGCTTTTAAGTAGGTACAAGTCCGAGTAGTCTGTGAGAAGATTATGGTTAAACTTGTTCAAGTCTCCTGCTAATATGAAGGTGTTGTTCGGGTACTTTGTTTGCAATTCTTCACGCACATTAAGGATATATTCAGCAAAAGCGTTGTCTCTTTTTGAGTCCGGCGGGTAGTAGGCGCATCCAACTATAGTCGTCATATACGATCGGTTGTATTTCAACCAAATTACTTCAGCAAACGCGTCGATTGGGTCGGTGAACTTCGGGTTGTAAGGTACTGCGTTGAGTTCTTTTCTGAAGTAGATACATACACCACCGGCCCTCGTTTTTTGGCAAGCTTCGAAGTTTCTGTCCATTCTGAATAAGTCATAACCATGGAAGTTTAAAGTGTCATCAGTAATTATTTCATTGAGCCAGGTTTCTGTAATCAGGCACAAATCGGGGTTCAGTCGAGTAAGATTGGCGACTCCGTTTCGTTTTTTCAGTGATCTGGCATTGAGAAGTAGTAATGAAGGGGCCCTGCATAGTCATACAGGGACTGCTTCACCATCCAAAAAAAGAGTCAGGTTCCGGACTTTGATTCTTTTCCGATCTGTTTTAGCGTCAATGAGTTCACGTCGTTTCTTCAGAACTTTTCTTTCCAATAGTCTTTCTTCTTTTGAGAGGTCTGGTGATATCCATATGTCGGAAGAAGTGCCAAGTTTATCCATCATAGCCTTTGAGACTAGTAGTTCAGCGTCACTGCGGGTAGTGAGTTCCACTATCATCATTCGATGACGTTGTTTATCAAACTTTCCAGCTCTGATAACGCTGTTAACCTTGAGTTCAGGAAAACCAAGCTTCGATGCAACATCTTTGAGTTTTTTCATATCATCAGCTTTTCTGTGATAAGCATTTTCTTCTGTACTCTCCTCAATGCCTGTAACCCGGATGGATCGTTTTGTTATCTCTGTCTGCACTGATTGGGGTTGGTTGAGAGAATGATTTTCTTATGTCATGTTGTCCAGTTGTGCTTTAACTTCGTTCAGCTGCGCAGATATTGTTTCAACTTGTTTTTGGATAATGGGGGAGCAGTCTGGTTTTTCAGTTTGAGTAATGAGGCAAGGTTCGCAAAACCATAGTAGACCTTTCACTCTTCCAATATGGGTAACAGCTTGAGCTGGTACTCCGGAGCATAGTTGATGAAACCAAATTTTGCATGCAAAACATTGGATAGTATTGGTTTTGCATTCTTCAGCGCATGCGCCACATGGGTACTTTGCGGTGTATTTTTCTTTCTTTGTTAGTCATTTCGATAAACTCCAGTCCGATAGTAAATAACAGAATACGATAGAAGTCGATAGCAGATGGCTGGTCGGAACGCACAACACGGATGTTTAGACATGAGTTTTTCTTGTGTGTATGCATTGTGTTAAACCTAATTACTCCATTTTGTTGGCTTTACAGCGCCTACCTAAGTTGTATCAGCTAAGTCACCGTTTATAATGTTAATCATACTGTTGAAATGACCAGCTAACAAATTTTTCAGTGGATTTCTAAAATTTAGTTTTTGTTAGTTTTGGCTAAATAACTAGCTATGTCTCATGATACAGTACCAAGTTATCTCTCTGGTTTATAAAAAACGTGAAGTGTCTCGGACTGTTTTGCTGAAGTTTTTTTGTAGTTTAGTTGAGGCTTCTGCAGTTTTTGGGTCTCGGAAAATCTGTAGATTCATTTTAAAAATATTTTTGATTAACATCTTGATGATAGCCTTTCAGAACTACCTATTGTACATATTCGAGATCAGAACTTAAATATTTAAAAAACAGTTTGATGAATTAGTACTTTTTTGAACATATTTCAATAATGATAAAGGTAGCTGCGTGTGTTTTTGATGTCAATGAACGAAGTTAGGACACATTTTTGGTGTTTTTTTAGGAATAAAACTTACAAGTTGTTTACATTCATTGTTTGGCGGTTTGACTGCTGTTTTCTTTAAGTTCATTTCAAAATCATTTGCCAAATGGAAGGCAAGTGTAAATGTAATCTTCGTGATATCAAAAGTGTAAATGGCGTGAAAAAAAGCGCAGCTAGACATTTATTCTCCAGCGGAATCAAAAACATGTGATTCAGTTATCTCAAGTTTGTTAGTTTTCTCATAAGGTGTCAGTCATAAAAGGTTTTCGATGTTATACTTTTTTCACTCGAAACTAAAAGTTTTCAAAAAACAACAATATAAACATTTGTAGCTTCTGTGGAGTTTATTGGCACTTTTCCATATGTCTGTTGGGCTATGTTTTCCTTGTTCAGAATCATTAGCTTTTTCTGTTTGTCACATTAAACCTATGTTTTGTTTTCCTAGTGCGTGCAACTCAACACTTTGTTTATGAATGCATGCGTCCAACCTGTATAAGAAGTCAATAAATTAACTATATTCATTTTCAGAGCATGTCATCTGTTGTGAACGGGACTAAAAATGATCCATCATCTTCTTACGACGGATTATTTCTCTTCATTAAAGTGAGTGTCTTATTTACAATTCTGTTGTGGTCTCAGTGATATGCTTAAAGATACTTAAAATGCATAAAGCTTAAGAGTATCCTTGTTTGTGGTTTGTGGCAGATCATGCCTTGTCTAACTTATTAACAGTGTTTGTTTGATGTATCTGAATCGTCGATTTTCTCAATCACTTTGTTATGAAAGCTCCCGTAATATTTTCATGAAGTATTATCAAAATTAGAAATGTCAGAAGCGTGCGTTTTCCCGTGTCTGCTTTCTATCCTCGACTGCGAATGTGGACTATATGTTATAGGCCGGATCAGATGCTCACCAAATTGGGCCGTGTCTGCATTGTCAGAAAATATTCATGTACATGGTCGCCAAGGGTCTCGAGTTCAGTTTCTCACTAGTAGACATGCGCAAGAACCAACACAAAGTGAAAGAGTTGTCGCCTGGGGGCAAGTTGCCGATACTAGCAGTTTACGAGAATGGAGATCCGAAACTGGTGAAGGACGGAGTTGTGGAGATTGAACAATATTTGCAGAAAGCCAATTTGGGCGAAGACAGAATTGGAGATCCTGAGGCGGATGATTTGGTCACGGATGTCTTGACAAAGTTCTCAGCGTATATCCGGAATAAGGATCCACAACATGATCTCAAATTAAGTTAGTTGCGTTACGTTAGCAAAGCTAAAAACATTGAGTACTGCTATAACGTTATTTTCAGCCTTGGTATCTTAATGTTTCATTAGCATGCTGGTTTTTAACACTGTTTTTTGATAGCATTAAAGATTGAAAAATTTCTATTCTGCGAATCCGTTTCGTACCTTTTCTTGATTCGGATTGGCCCCAGAATCAAAATCAATTGTACGTCTAGAAAAGATTAAATGTTTGCGTTTGCGAAAGGAAGTGCCTTTTATCGGAAACTACCTTTTTCACGTCAAAGACTTTTCTTAAAAACCTGTAAGAAATTGAATTTTCGTCATTATTGAACCGTAACAGCTTTCTGTACCTTTTCTGTTTTTTTTAATATCTTTGAAATCGAAAAATTTTTCAGCGAAAATTTAATCATCCGAGTTTCGTTTGGCCGTTCATTTTTGTCGGCTTATTTTCAAAATCTTAGTTTTTTTTTCTGATTTGAACGATTCTAATTTTAACTGACAGTCCGCCGTAATCCTTTTGGCGGTGTATCGAGTAGCAAAAAGCTTGAACATCATAAAAGCTGCTAAAGTGAAAATCGTATCGACGAAAATTGACACTTAGAATTCAAATATTGTTTAAATAAGTTTTAATCATTATACATTAAAAATATACAAATACTGCATACTTTATAATTTACGCGGCGATTTTTGTTCAGCTTAAGACATAACAGGTTGGTGGTGACTGATCACAATCTATGTGTCAAAGAAATTTCATTTGCCTGTTTGATTGCTTAGTTTCTATTTCTCAGAACTGCACGTTTTAGTTTGAACTGATTACACTTTTTTGTTTTGTATGTCTGAGAATTAGAACTATCAAATTTATGCTAGTCGGTATTTTTTTCATATTTTAAAACTTTTACTGGTCGAGCGGTCAGCCTCCTGTTATTAAGCAAATTTATCGACTCGGATTTTGAAGGAGCTTTTTTTGGGTAAAAATGGTTTCGGCTTATGTTTTATCGGCTTAGTTATATCATTTTGTGTCTTCTGCAAGAAATTTGAATAATATTTAACAAAAAAAAAACATTTCATGTCGGTTGTGGTGTAAAAGATTGCTGTTTTAAACTTAATCGCTCAAATTTTTTGCTATAGATTTTTTCGTTTTCGGCTTAATGGGCGTATACCCATCTTTTGTCGGCTCATAGGCCGCTCGGTAAACACTTTGAGCATATTTTATACTGTTGCTTCTGTATTTTTCGAGTTATAATTTTTCGACTGTGCTTGCCGAATTTTTATTCGCTAGCTGGCAATGCTACCCTTGAGTAGTATCGCAAGTGATTCCAAGGTCCACTTCTTGCCTGTGTAGTTTTTTTGATATAGAGTTAGTAATACACGAGCAGAGTTTTGGTTGATTTCAGAACATTTGCTTTTTCGTAGGTTGTATTTAACCTCTCATTCTTTATAGATCGAGTTTTTTGGGACATATTTTGGGTTTATTTTGTACGTGTTTCTTGGATTACGACTGGTTGATTACGTCAAATGTGCCTCCGCCCTCATCATTTCTTGCAGCGGCAGCTAGCTTTTGATCAAACTTTTTGTTCTAATTGGAATTCGATTCTCAGCTGTTTTTCAGTTGTTTTCGCGGACGTTTTAAACAACGAAAAATTGCAAAACCTTGGAAGCACTTAATTAGTTTAGGATACTCCCAGCGATACCTTTGATCTACAAAAATTTCTTGTTAGTTTTTTTTTGAGTTTCCTGGAATTAAAGCTCTAATGTGGCGAGAAAAATGGGTCTGGTCGATTTTGATTTCCAGGCCAGCTTTTCAAGAGTTTGTCCTTGGGCACATATGTGCAGAATGATATTTTAATCTGTCTCTAGAACACAATCTGTACGTGAAGCTGGAGCACATCAATAATTACCTGGTGAAGACTGGCACTAAGTTTCTGAGTGACGACGAGGAACTGACTCTGCCCGACTGTGCCCTGCTGCCTCGTCTGTTCCACATAGTTCACGCATGTCAAGGCATCAAGGGAGTCAATGTCCCGGCAGAGACCACAAACCTCACTGGTATGTTCAGTTGGTTAATACAATGTATCTCCGAGCGAATGGACTGAACGCTAACATACGGCATCTTGAAGGTTTATTAGTTAATAGCGTAGAATGTTTTTATTATTTATGGCAATAAATCTTCAATTAATTTTGCAACTAATATAGGGGCGGATTCAGGGGGAGGGGTAGTGGCCTTGTCAACCTACGGTTTGGTCGACCTATAAAAGGGTCATTAGAATTTTCAAAATTTATCGGGCCGCCTCAAAATTTCCTAGATCCGTCCCTGGATGGGCAAATCAACATTTTCAAATGGTCCAAGTTTAAAAAGTAATATCCACAAAGATAATTTCAATATCCTCTAAATGGCCTAATTTTATTACAATTAAGGGATCTACTTAAAAATCGCAGCCTAAATTACAACTATTTCAGCGTTGTGGGAGTATTTCAAGCGAGGCAAAGAGACGAAGGAGTTCGAAGTGTCCCAATACGATCCCTCAGACGTCATAGCCTACTGGAATGATATGCGAAAGTGATGGAATCAGTAAAATTCAACATTGAATCGCGTAGCTCTGACCTAGTTACAATAGGCAGATAATGGACGGCAAAACGGCTTTTTACTTTAACAGTGCAATAGTTATTGGAAGTTCATTAATTAAATTAATCCCATGTAATTCATAGGACTCGATCTATATCAAAAAAGTCTTCTGGATTTTGAATTATGCTGCAGGTCTAACTCTATCGAAATGTGCCACAAAGATCAACATCATCATTTTCAGTTAATTTCGTTATATTTATCACTAGTTTTTCGTAAAGGAGGCGTCAGGCAATCAATCATCAGATGTAAATTGTAGGTGATATTTTTTTATACAAATTTTGTAAATAAATTTTTGTTGGTATAACCGGAGCGAGTTTTGTTTGAAACGCTATGTTCAATTTAATGTTTCCACCAAAACTTTTGATCAGCTGAAACTGTCATCTGTGTTAGTTTGATCAAATTAGTTTCATCCGTGTAAAGGTGCATTTTTGTGATACTTTGATTTGAGTTAGTATAAAACTGGATTGATTCAAACCAAAAATCGACAACCACGATTCAAGTAAAGATATTGAAAAACAAGTGAAAAACAAAAAAGCGAAGAGAATTTCTTGAATTCTTGTTGATTTTCGTTTAATAAAGGCCGATTCAATTAGTTTGACAGGGAATGGTAACATACTGGTTTTTAAAAGCTTTCTCCGAGGTACTCAAAATCGGGAAGGACAAAGCACCAGCTACGCGATCCTTCCTGCTTCGTGAAGTGGTCTGAACGAAAATATCAGGTTGTGAATTAAATAATTGCTGCATTGAATGCACTCACATTTAATTATATACTGTTTGTGCGAAAAAAAACCTCGCCTGCAAAACTTGGTTTTTTCTTTTTATCTCCGAGCAAGCTATTGAAAATTGTTCCAGCGCTTGTGTGGTTAAATGTCCCTTCGAGTTGAAAAGTAAACACAGGCGAAGTTGCAGTTCGCATACACAAACAAAACTGTGACTGATGACTCTACTCGAAAGTAAGTTTTTGAGTACTTCGGCAAGGTTCTAGTACATTGCCAACAACCATCCAACTAATGATTTTTCTATTCAGCTTAAATCAAAGATACTTACTTAAAACGAAAGAACAGTGATCTGATAAAAACTTTTTTCCTGAACAATTTTTTACTCCTTATTTCGTGTTATAAGAAGTGGTAGATTACTAATATTGATCATGCCACTTGTAGTAATATGTATCTCTGCATAATAAACATCAATGGAACACCTCGTTCAGAAAAGAAGAATTTGAGACAAAATCAACATTGAAATCTCCAAAAATGCGCATGTTGTTTTCTCTGTAGTTGTCTACATTTTTAGTCAAAGCAGCTAGGAAAGCACTCATAGATTTAACTCAATGTCTTTTGTGTACGGAAATCATTGAACAATCCAGCAATGCCGTGTGAATTGAAGCAAACTGTGTGCGTTTATGTCCCTTTTTTACACAGTTCTCATAGTTTGTAAACTTGAGCATCCAAAGGGGTTTTGATAGGAAAGAAGAAAGTATTTTGGCTGTTCCCGGTGAGTTGCTTTTTTTCAGCCAATAAAATAGCAATGTAAAATAGTTGTGCCAACGAAAAGATGATCTAAACACTGCCATCCAATTTGATATTGCGCTGATCTAAACATTTTTTTCTTGTATCCAGTTGCAACCGTCAGTATGACGCAATGAATATATCAGATTCACCCGCGCTGTCAAAGACCATGCTTCGAATAGACGCTATGATATCAATTTTTAATGCTTAATTGATATCATAGCAAGAAAGAAGTGAATTAAATTGAATTGATTTAATTTTTCAAATGGTAAAATACCACAGGAGTATCTTCAAAACAAAAGAAAAAGTGTTATAGACCATGCTTCAAATTGGTGTTAAAAGTCTGATATCATTGAAAGACACTAGTAAATTTAATGTTGCAATCGATATTATTTTAAAAACAAAAGAAAAATGTCAAGGAACAAAATATACCGTCAAATTTCATTCAATTAATACCCTTTATTCAAGTATGAGTAAAATCGATTTTTTGAATTTGCAATAATTGCGTTGCTGTGCAACACGAGGTACATATTTTTGAGCACCTCCTCTTTTAAAATGTTAATTTTTCTCTTAAACCAGAAACGGCGTTTTCAAAGTTCAATTCACTCTTGCATATTTGATGATAAACTTTGACAACAGAAGGGTAGTCGGGTTCAACTTTTTTGACTGAGCTTTTTTTGCTTTGAGACTATGTTGGAGCTGGCTGATGTTTACAACCCAGGAGCAGAAGCTTTTGAAACGACTTGTGCAGGAACACAAAGTTGCAGTTTTAGTTCTGGTCTATCGTTGAGGCGTATATTTCTGTTTCTATTCATGAAACCCTTTTTCCTTATAGCGTGGCAAATCGATGAAACGCGGTGGTTCAGATTGAAAGCTCCAGCTCCTTCCATAGCGAAGTTATCAAAATCATCACAGTATTTGTTTCCTAAAATTGAATTCACACAATAGCCATGAGTTTTGGGTATCTACGCTTGTGCGCATGCATAGAACAATGAAGCTCAAAAATGCCTTCTTGCTGATCCAGATGATGGCTTTCTCGTTAGTGGTTCTCGTTGTTGGAAGAATTCATAATCCGCGCCTTTGAACTCATCCTCAACCAGCTGGACGTTGCTTTCAAAAACACCTAGTTCTCATTAGACTCAATGTCGACTATTATGACCCTTGTTGGAGATAAATTTGATGTTTAACATCAAAAAGCGAAATCTGCTGCAAGTCAGGTGTTCTTATTCATCTGAACAGTTGATTTTTGATTTTACAAAAAAATTTTATACAGCATTTATCTTGTAAAAGTCCTGATTTTGCTGCATGATTTCAACTAGTCCGACGAGAAAGCAGATTGGTTGTCATGAGAAATTTTTTTTGTGAGCTTCTGTCCCAGTTTTTTTACACGTTCTCATAGTTTGTTATTTTAAGCATCCAAACGGTTTTTCATAGGCACGAAGGAAATCTTTAGCTGTTTCTTGCGCGTTAGTATTTTTCAGTAATAACAAGAAAAGTAAAAAGTTGTGTTGCGAACAAAAAATTGATCTAAACATCCCATCCAAGTTGATATTGCGCTGATTTAAACACTTTGTTCTTGTATCCATCTGTAACCGTCAGTGTGACGCAATGATTTTATCATATTCACCCGCGCGGTCAAAGATCATGCTTCGAATGGACATGAAACATTTGATATCATAAAATACAGTAGTAAACTGAAATGATTTAATCTAAATTTTCAACTGATGAATTTCAACAGGAGTTTCTTCAAAACAAGAGAAAAGTGTCCTATACATCCGAGAGGTCATTGTACATGCTTCAAATAGATCTTAAAAGTCTGATATCTTTGAAATACATCAGTAATTTATCATGTTAAAATCAGCAATATCCTGAAAACAAGAGAAAACTTACAAGGAACAATATGAAATACATCACTAGTTCAACATGTTAAAATCAGCAATATCCTGAAAACAAGAGAAAACTTACAAGGAACAATATGAAATACATCACTAGTTTAACATATTAAAATCAGAAATATCCTGAAAGCAAGAGAAAACATACAAGGAACAATATGAACCTTATCAAAAGCCATACATATAAATTCCATTTATTAAAGTAAGAGTACAATAGAGTTTTGAATTTCAAAATGAAATAGAGTTGCTCTGCAATACGAGGCACGACCATCTGAACATATCTTTGAGCCCTTCATCTGTTAAAATGTGTTTAATTGGTATGCCAGAAAGGCTCATCCGATATTCCGTGCACTCTTTTTAGGTGATGCTAATTTTTTTTTTACAATAGAAGGGTAATTTGATTTCATTTTTGGCCTCTGAGCTTTTTTTTTAAATTTTGAGGCCTTGTTGCAGCTAAGCGATGATTACAGCACATGGGCAGAACCGTCTACTGCAGTGTTGAAATATTGCACCATATCAGTTACGGTGTATCGTTGAGGCGTAAAACATAGTTTCCATTAAATGAACCGCTTTTTCCACATAGCGTCGCAAATCCATGAAAAGCGGTGGTTAAGATTGAAAGCTCGAGCTCCTTTCATAGCAAAGTAATCAAAATTCTCACAGCATTTCACAGCATTTGTCTCCTAAAGTTGAATTCCCACAATAGCCCATGAGTTTTGGGCATCAACGCTTTTGCGCATGCATAGAATCATGAAGCTCAAAATTTCCTACCTGCCGCTCCAGATCATAGCTTTCTCGTTAATTCGTTTTCGTTGCTGAAACATTTTATCGACCGTGCCTTTCAATTCGTCCTCAAACAGATCGACGTTGCTTTCAAATCGTACTACTATATTTTAATTAGACTTAATGGTGACTATTATGGCAATGGAGTTCATTTTAATAATTCCGATGGAAAAGCGGAATCTACCGCAAGTCAGGAGTTTTCATTGGCCTGAACAGTTGATTTTCGAGATTTAAAAACAGTTTAGTACACAATTATTCATTTAAAATATTGATTTTGAGCTTATTTTGTCTATTACGACCGCAAAGGAGATTGGTCGGCATGAGAAAAAGTTGTGTGCGTTTCTGTCCAATTTTTACACAGTTTTCATAGTTTGTAAACTTGAGCATCCAAAGGGTTTTTGATATGAAATAAGAAAGTTTTTTGATTGTTCCTTGTAAGTTACTATTTCTCAGCAATAATAATAGAAATTCAAAATAGTTTTGCGGACGAAAAACTGATATAAAACCTGATCCAGAAAATTGAGCTGATAACCTTTTTTTCCGTTTTTATCAGAAATATTATACTTGTGCGAACAAAAGCTGATTCATTAACATTTCATCTCTATATTTAACATTTTTTTATTAAACTGATTTTTAGAATCCGCCAAAACAGCCCATAAATCAACCACAGATTTGTTCGAGCTCTGAAATGCTTTTGATAGTTTTCGTCTTTGCTTGGCTTCTTCGTTCAAGCCTGTTTCATTGCAAAGTTTTCTTTTTTCCTTAGAAATTCTCAGTAGCATTTGCTGCAATTCGTTGAAATGGTGTGGGTTTTTTTTACGATTTCCGACATTGGTATGACTGTTTTTTTAAATGATTAACTTCTCAATTTAACCGAGAGCCGTCTTTTTTTGTCCTGTCGTTAACGAGTAGTAGTACCATAATTGCATAACCCCTATCGAGCGAATCGTTAGCCCTATTTATGATAAAAGTGTCTCTATCATGCTTCTCTATCAAAGACCTGAATATGCCGGCTGCGGGTGTGTGACATAACTAAAACATTTTTTCAAGATGTAGCGTAAACCTTACTGCAAAAATAGAATTAGACAGCTGAATTAGTAGAAGTAGACGTAAAATTTTGTGTTTTTGTAAGAAGGAAGTAGTAAAATACATAAAGCATCAATTTTATTTAGTTTGA